CCCCCGCCCCCCCCCCCCCCCCCCCCCAGGCACAGCTGCATGGGGAGGGGTCTCACGTGCTGTCTCCTCCCCAGATGAAGTCGGGGCACTGGTCTTTGACATCGGCTCCTTCTCGGTCCGAGCCGGCTATGCAGGCGAGGACTGCCCCAAGGTACGCGAGTCCCGGATCAGGGCCTCTGGGCTGTGGGGTGGGGAGTAGGTTTGAAGGTGAAGCCCCCTCCCCATCCCGGGTTGGACCCTCTGAGGGATGTTGCATGCTCTGCATCTAGCATGGGGCCAGGATCCGGGCTTGGGGGCCAGGATCGGAGCCGGGGGGCTGGGGTGGGGTCTATGGGGCTGGGATCTGGGATCAGAGGCTGGGATCGAGCTGGGGTCCAGGATTGGGGTTCATAATTGGGCCCAGGGGCTGGGAATGGGAATTGGGGGCCAGGCTCAGGGATCGGGGCGGGGATCGGAGCCAGGATCAGGGCCGTGGCGCTGTGCTGACCCCCGCCCCAGGCGGACTTCCCCACCAGCGTGGGGCTGCAGTCGCACGAGGAGGCAGTGCTGGAGCTGGACGGCGACAAGGACAAGAAGGGTGGCAAGGCCTACTACATCGACACCAACGCACTGCATGTGCCCCGCGAGGCTGCCGAGGTCCTCTCCCCTCTCAAGAACGGCATGGGTGAGCCCTGGCCCTGCCCCCAGACCGCCAGGCCCCACCCCTATAGGTGGCTGCCCTGGGCAGGAGCCAGGCTATGCCCTCCTAGGCCCAGGTCACGCCCCCTTGGCTCTGGTCACACCCATACCTAGCCCCGCCTCCCTACAGGACTGGCCACACCCCCTTGGGTCTAGCCATGGCTAAACCCAGCCACACCCCCTTGGCTCTGGCCACACCTGTACACCCCACCCCCACAACCCATGCCCCACTCCCTAGGCTCTGACCATGCCCAAACCAGCCCTGCCCCCTACAGAACAAGCCACGCCCCTGGCTCTGACCACACCCCCTAATCCTAGGCCATGCCCCCACCCATAATAGCAGGGGGGCAGAGGCCCCACCCCCACCCTGTGGCCACACTCCCTGCCACCCACTGCTGCACCTTGTGGTGCAGGGGGCGGGGCCAGTCAGCTGACCCTGCTCCCCGCCCCCCAGTGGAGGACTGGGAGTGCTTCCAGGCCATCCTGGACCACACCTACAGCAAGCACATCAAGTCGGAGCCTGGCCTGCACCCGGTGCTCATGTCCGAGGCGCCGGTACGTGCCCATCGCCGCAGCAACTGCCCCCGGCAACTGCTCCATGTCCTCCCCATGGCAACTGTGTGTTCCCCCTCCCCCCATCCAGAAACCGCCACCCCATCCTCCCCATGGCAACAGCATGTGCCCCCGGCTACCACTGTCCCCATCTGTGTGTGCCCATGGCAACCAGGCCCTGCGTGTCCCATAGCAACTGGGCCCTTATCTTCATAGTGACCAGGCCCTGCATGTACTATAGCAACTGGGCTCCCATCTCCATAGTAACTGGACCCCCCCCCACCTGTTCCATAGCAACTGGAATCTGGGCTCCATAGGAACCCGACCCCCTGCCTGTCCCATAGCAAACACAGCTCCCATCTCCACAACAATAGGGGCTCTGATCCCCATAGCAACAAGGGTGTGCATCTCCATAGCACCCAGACCCCCGACATGTCCCATAGCAACAATATCCCTCTCTCCATAGTAACTCGGCCACTTGCCTATCCTGTAGCAACAGGATCCCATCTCCATAGCAATCGGACACCCCTGCATGTCCTATAGCAACCAGGCCCTGCATGCCCCATGGCAACCAGGTCCCCCCCCCCCATCCCTATAGCAACTAGACCCCCCCCATTGCCCTAGCAACCGGCCCATGTCCCCGTAGTGGAACACGCGGGCCAAGCGGGAGAAGCTGACGGAGCTGATGTTTGAGCACTACAACATCCCGGCTTTCTTCCTCTGCAAGACCGCTGTACTCACCGCGTATCCAACCCCCTGGAGACCACCACCCCCAGACTCTCTCTTCTTCCTCTGCAAGACCGTCGTGCTCACTGCATATCCCCCCCACCCCTGGGACACCCCCTGGGACGCCTCATAGCCCCCCAGAACCCCTGCCATGCTCACCTTGTATCCCCCTGGGATTCACCCAGACCACCCCCTGGGACACCTCCGAACCCTTGGGACCCTACCTTCCTCTGTATGACCACCATGCTCACTGCATATCCCTCAATGTCCCCCCTGCTGTGCTCCCCAAGTATGTCTCCCCAGACCCTCCTGGTCACAACATACTCTATGGAGGAAGGGAGCGGAACACCAGGACACCTGGGTTCCAGCCCAGGACCTCCCCTCCAGGGGCCCCAGCCCCACCCCCCCACCAAGAGCTCAGCACAGATCCCAGACAGCCCCCCCCCATGCCCCCCTGGGCCCAGCAGAGAACACAAGCGTCCGGGTCCACTCCTGCCCAGGGCAGGCAGAGAACCCAGGTGTCCAGGCCTTGACTCAGGGGTCAGCTTTGCCAATGGGCGCAGCACGGGGCTGGTGCTGGACAGTGGCGCCACCCACACCACCGCCATCCCGGTGCACGATGGCTACATCCTGCAGCAGGGTGAGGTCCCCCACCTGGACACCTGGGTTCCCCAGGGGGCGCAGAGGAGGCAGCCCGGATGTCTGGGTCCCCTCTGGGAGCCAGGGGGAGAGGTCCCCAGATGCCTGGGTCCTTTCCCTGTGCTTTGAGAAGGGCGAACTCTGAGGGGGGAAGGGGCGGGGACATGGCTACACATCTCCTGGGGGTGGGGGGACATTTCCAGGCATCGTGAAGTCGCCGCTGGCCGGGGACTTCATCTCCATGCAGTGCCGGGAGCTCTTCCAGGAGATGAACATTGAGATCGTTCCACCCTACATGATTGCTGCCAAGGTGGGAGGGGCCAGGGGGCTGGCGGGGCCAGGAAAGGGTCAAGGCAAGTGGATGGGAGCAGGGCTTTGGGGCTGGTGCGGGGTTATGGGGCAAGGAGAGGTTTAAGGCAAATGAGTGGGGGTGGAGCTTTGGGGATGTGGGCAGAGTTATGGGGTCTGGGGGTGGTGCTATGGGGCCAGGAGAGGGTTCAGACAAGTGGGTGGGGCCTGTGGGGAGAGGGGAGGGGCACTGGAGCAGGGGGTAGGGGAAGAGGAGCAGGAAATTGGGGAAAGGGGTGGAGCAAGAGGGGCAGGGCCTCAGGGGGCATTAGGGAAGGGAGTGGGGCAAGAAGAGCAAGGCATGGGGCAGGGGAGGAGGCTCGACCTGGGGCTCAGACCCCTTCCCTGCCCCCCCAGGAGCCAGTGCGAGAGGGAGCCCCACCCAACTGGAAGAAGAAGGAGAAGCTGCCACAGGTGTCCAAGTCCTGGCACAACTACACCTGCAACGTGAGCCAGACGCCTGGGTTCTCTCGGGGGTGGGGGGGACGAGACTGGGACCCCGGATGCCTGGGTTCCCCATCACACCTTTCCCTTCCCCTCCACCCAGGAGGTGATCCAGGATTTCCAGGCTTCGGTGCTGCAGGTCTCTGACTCCCCCTACGATGAGCAGTGAGTGGGCTGGGGGGGTTGGGGGGGTGCTGGGCGAGCTGCCCCCCCTAATCCTCCCCTCCCACAGGGTGGCGGCGCAGATGCCCACAGTGCACTATGAGATGCCCAATGGCTACAACACGGACTACGGGGCCGAGCGACTGCGCATCCCTGAGGGGCTCTTCGACCCCTCCAACGTCAAGGTGCCCGGGGGAGGGGGAAGGGACCCAGATGTCTGGGTTCCTGCCCCCCCCCGAACCCAGACATCTGGGCTCCCACTGCCCTCTTCCAGAGAGCCCAGGCATCCGGGCTCCCAGCCCCCCCCACCTCCAGGCAACCCAGACATCCTGGCTCCCAGCTTCCCACTCCCAAAGAACCCAGGTGTCTGGGCTCCTGGCCCCACCATCGCTGTACCCTTCCCACCCTACCCCCAGAGAACCCAGGTGTCCGGGCTCCCAGCCCCCCTGCTCTTACTCCTCCACCCCATTCCCAGAGAACCCAGGCATCCAGGCTGCCCCCTGCTGACCCCCATGCCCCCCCAGGGCCTGTCGGGAAACACCATGCTGGGCGTGGGGCACGTGGTGACAACCAGCATCGGGATGTGCGACATTGACATCCGCCCGGTGAGTGACTCCCCACCTTGCCCCCCACCCTGGACCCAGCTCGGGGCAGAAAACCCAGGCGTCCGGGCTCCCGGTCCCCTGGTCCCTCCCCTCCCAGAAAACCCAGGTGTCTGGGCCTTCAGCACCCCTTGCATCCACATTCCAGTCCCCACCGCCCTCCCAGAGAACCCAAGTGTTTGGGGATGCAGCAGCGGGGGTGGGGGCTGACCTTGGCCTATGGTGAGGAGGGAGGGGCTGGCGCAGGGACTGGAGGGTTGTTATGGTAGCAACCATCTCCCCAGGGTCTCTACGGCAGCGTCATTGTCACCGGGGGCAACACACTGCTGCAGGGCTTCACCGACCGCCTCAACCGGGAGCTGTCGCAGAAAACACCCCCGGTGAGCGCATGTGCGAGTGCCAGCACATGCATGTGTGTGAGCATGAGGATGTGTGTGAACATGCATGTGAGTGTGTGCGCGTGAGGGAGGGCATGCATGTGTGTGAGCGTGTGCCTGTGCAAGCATGGGTGGAAGCATGTGTAGGCTTGTGCATGAGTACATGCAAACGTGTGTACGTGCGTGTGAAAGCGTGGGCACCTGTGCAGGAGCAGGCCTTCTCCCCTACTTCAAGCGCATACAAGCCTGAGTGTGCGAGGGCACACATGTGAGCCAGTGTTGGCAAATGTGTGCATGTCCCCCAGATGCTTGGGGGGGGGGGGGGGGTGTCCTGGACACCTGGGTTCTGAGAGTGTGTGCGTGCCTGAGCGGTGCCCCCCCACTGCTGCCGCACACACATGCGTGCATGTATTGCACACATGTGTGAGCTCACCCATGTGCCTGCCCCCTCCTGCAGAGCATGCGCCTGAAGCTCATCGCCAGCAACAGCACCATGGAACGGAGATTTAGCCCCTGGATCGGGGGCTCCATCCTGGCCTCCCTTGTGAGCCCCCAGATGCCTGGGTCCTGCCCTGCTTGGAGGGGGGTGGGGGGGTGGGCTGGGAGCCCGGATGCCTGGGTCCCCCGCTCAGCCCGCTCTCCCTGCAGGGCACCTTCCAGCAGATGTGGATTTCCAAGCAGGAGTATGAGGAGGGGGGCAAGCAGTGTGTGGAACGGAAGTGCCCCTGAACCCACCCCAGACCCCTTCCAAGGGTGGGGCTGAGTCTACACTGGCCCTTTCCCCTCCCCCCCACCCACAGGCCATGTGTGGTGGGGGTCATGGTGCTGGGGCAAGGGGGGGCATTTTTAATCTTTTCCTCTTGTCTGCTCTTGCCTCTCCCAGAGCTGGAGAGAACCCAGGTGTCTGGGCCTGTCTTCTGCACCCTAGCCCCACTCCCCTCCGAGGGGGCCCAGGTGTCCAGGGCTCCCAGACCCCACCCCCACTTTGGTCCAGCCAAACAGCCCCCCTTCCTCCTGGAGAACCCAGGCATCCAGCCTCCTAGCACCCCCCCAGACCCCACTTCCTTCCCAGAACTGGAGAGAACCCAGGCATCCAGGGGTCCAGGTCTGGCCTAAAGGGGGAGGGGGTCTCATGAACTGGTGGGACCCCTCCCCTTGCCCCAGCACCCCCCGCCACATGGCTGCCTTGTCCCAAAATGTCACCATTTCAGCCCAATTGCAGAAACATTAAAGGCAAAGGTCAGAGAAACTCAGGGGTCATGTGATCCTGAGAGGGGGTGGGGGGAGCTCAAGGAACCCAGGCATCCGCTGGGGAGGGAGGGGGCTCGACTGCCAGCGGGGGGACCCTGGAAGCGCTCTGAGCCCCACAGGGGTCCAAGACCTCCATTCCCCTGGAGGGTGGAGCGGTGCCGTGGCAGGTGCTGCTCGCTGGCCTGCTCTTGGCACGGGGAAGGGAACGCCGTGGGACATGCATGGCCATGGGACCCAGAACACACACACGCACAGAACCCAGGCATCCAAAACACACACACACACACACGCACACACACACGCCCACCCAGGCCCCCAGTGTGCACACCCATGCACAGAATCCAAGTGTCCAGGACGCGCACGCATGCAGTGACTGTGTCCCCCGCTCTGGGTGCCTACCCGTCACCCACCAACTGGCCGCAGCCGACACTCCCAGCCTGCACTGCATCACTGTGCCAGCCTCTCCCTGCCTGTCCCCAGTGCAGCTTGGCCCTGGAGCAGGACAGCAGCAGTCGGGCCCATGGGAGGGGCACTGGGCTCTGCAGTGTGCACAGGGCAATGCCATTCATTCTTAAGTGGAATGGGGGGCAGACCCAGGGCCCTCAGCTCAGCACTTGGTGTCCTTTGTTACGCCCAGCCATGATGCCACGCCACAGAGCCAACCACACCGCTGGCTTCTCTCTTGCACCATGGCAGAGCTGCCAACCTCATTCCTTATGGGAATTAAGATGCAATGAGCAGTTGCAGGCAGGGGGCAGGCGGGGAGGTCCCAGGTGACCTCTGCGGAAAACACCGGAGAATTGCCCCCCCCAACCAGTCAGACAAAACCCATCCCAGCTGGCACTTGGCACAGCAGGGGGTTGAGCTGCAGCTGGCTCTGGGGTGGGTGACGGGGTTGGATATAACAACCCCCTCGATCCCAGGCTTCTGACCCTGCTCCAAACCACCAGTCCCCACTCCCCTCCCACAGCTGGAAGAGAACCCAGGCATCCGGCCTGCCAGCTCCCTACCCACCATTGCTTATGAGCACCAGGGTGGCTTCTTGTCCTCCTCAGCAGGTGTCAGAAGAGGTGGCGTCCCGGACCCCAGAGTTCCTTGTCCCCAACTCTAGAGCAGTTGAGGCTGGCAGGGAGCTGCAGGGTCACATCCAGTCCAACTCCTGCCCTTGCCTCCAGCAGTCAATTATATAGCTGAGAGGCGGGCAAGAAGGGAAGCCTTGCCCCAGCTCCTTGGAAACAGCCTATCTGAGCACCCAGCTGGGCCCTTTCCTACTGGAGGCTACCCAATAAGCTCAGTGGGCAAGGAGAACCTTGCCCCCAAGCTCCCCTTGGGGTTCTACCTCTTTCCAGTCTGCTCCTGCCCCACTGCTTGAGATGGATTCACCCCAATGAGCCCACAGGGAGGAAGTGCCAAACCAGCCAATTGGACTCCCCGTGGCAGCAGGATCTGGAGACAGGACAAATCCACAGCCTGGCCCCAGACCCTGCCTGTGGGGGTGCAGGGAAGCTGTGGTTCCACATCCGGGTAACACCCCACTGTGGCTCAGCCCCTACCCACGGCTTGCTCCCTGCCAGTGGCCTGGGACCCGCGCACTGCTGGGAGAACAATGAAGCCATAAGTAGCTGAGGCCATTCCTGCCAGCCATCACTAAACTAGGTATGAATTATCACTTAACTGTTAACCTGATATAACTAGAAGAGGTTAAAACGACATTTTAAATGATATCCCTAATTGCAACCAAACCTGCCAGAGGGAAAGCAGCGAGAGCCACAACAAGGAGAGATTTCAGAGCCCAACACTATTAAGTCTAGAAAAGAGACACTCAAAGGGCAGGGACATAAGAAGTATTTACAAAATAACACAGCAAACAGGAAAGAGAAAGTCCATAGGGATTTATTATTGACCATTTCCCCCCAGGCAAGAACCAGGGGTTACAACAGGAAATGAGCAGCTTGTCAGCTGAAAGCTAATGAAGAAGTTCTTTTACACCCAGCCTGAAACTAAAGTGTGGGACGTGTGGCCACTAGATGTGGTGGAAGCTAGGGTTTAGCCAGATACTCACAGCACTATTGTGGCTTCTCCCCTGCATAGATACGCTGGTGACTGGCCAGGCTGGAGGAGTAGGTGAAGCTCTTCCCACACACAGATCATTCATGTGGCTTTTCACCTCTGTGGATGCCTTGATGCCGGGCCAGGTGGGAGGATTGGGTGAAGCTCTTCCCACACTCAGAGCACCGATGTGGCTTCTCACCTGTGTGGACACGCTGGTGCCGGGCCAGACTAGAGTACTGGGTAAAGCTCTTCCCACACTCAGAGCACTGATGTGGCTTCTCCCCTGTATGCATGCGCTGGTGTCGGGCCAGGTTGGAGGAGTGGGCAAAGCTCTTCCCACACTGAGAGCACTGATGTGGCTTCTCCCCTGTGTGGATGCGCTGGTGGATGGCCAGGCTGGAGGAGTCAGTGAAACTCTTCCTGCACAAAGAGCACTGATGTGGCTTCTGCCCAGTATGGATGGGCTGGTGCCGTGCCAGGTGGGAGGACCGGGTGAAGCTCTTCCCACACACAAGGCACTGATGTGGCTTCTCTCCTGTGTGGATGCGCTGGTGCTGGTCCAGGTTGTAGGACTGGGTGAAGCTCTTCCCACACACAAGGCACTGATGTGGCTTCTCCCCTGCGTGGATGCAATGAGACTGGTCCAGTTGGGAGGACAGGGTGAAGCTCTTCCCACTCCTAGGGCACAAAAGTGGCTTCTCCCATGCATGGATGTGCTGGTGCTGAGCCAGGTCAGAGGAGTGTGTAAAGTTCCTCCCACACTCAGGGCACCAATCTGGCTTCTCACCTGCATGGTGGCACCAGTGCTGAGCCACGGAGAAGAAATGGGTGAAAGTCTTACCACATGTGACACAGCGGTACTGACTCTTCCCCCTATGAACATGTTGGTTTGGCCCTAGGTCCCGAGGGACATGCAAAGCTCCTCCAACATCTGGTGAAGTGGTGGGGCAGCTCTCTAGAATGGATTTCAGGATGAGGAGCCAGGGTCGAGAGGCAGGTGAAGTCCCTCCTGCACTTGGCGCACAGGTGGGGCTTCTCCCCAGTGTGGCTTCTCTTGTGCAGAGCCAAGAGTGATGGGCAGCTGAAGGTTTTCTGGCACTCAGGGCAGGGGTGGGCTCTGCCCCTGGGCTTGGCAGGGAACTCCCACTTCCCTCCAAGGCCCTCCCCACTGGCTCAGCTCAGATGCAGGGTCTCTCTCCAGTGAAATTTTGCCTCATTATCTCTTCAGCTCTACAAATCCTTCCCTGTGCCCAGGGCTTTCTCCGAGTTCTCTCCCTTCTCCACTACCACACCCAAGGGGACATGGTACCTGGTTTGCTGCTTTCTCCCTCTGCTTTTGGGGCCTCCCCTGACTCTTGAGCCATTGGCCCTCCTCAGGTCTCAGGGACTCCATCATGCCACAACTCCCTGAGGAAGTCCAGGTTGGCTCCAGATTTGCTGGCCCTTCCTCACGACCTTGCTCCTCAGCTCTGCTCAGCAGCCAGGCGCCTCCTGCGTGGGGAAGAGAATGTGGCTATTCCCTCTGCTGCGATGGGGCTGTGAGCGCGACTGGACCTTGGCACTTACGTTTCCTTAAGAGAACAAGGTCCTTCTGCCAAACCCCAAGTGCTCGAGGTGAGGGTGGGGCACGTCCCTGTGCTAGGCTAATGTTCCCTGCTTGAATTAGGCTTTCTAAGGCCTTCTGTCCCACAGCAATGGCGGCTCCAGGGGGAGACTGAGCTGAGGCCTCCACCTGGCTGGGCTGACATGCTCCAGAAGCCAAAGTGCAGCATCTGTTACCAGGGTGAACAGCCCCATGATGGATTTCTGGGGCTCACCAGCAGTCAGGAGTGTGTGGGGAGCATGGCCTTACACTGGACCACCTGCTTCTCCTTGGTACAAAAAGCCTCTGGTGATGAGGCCCAGGTGGCCTCCACATCACCAGAATCTGCAGTGGGACAAAAGCCCCCTGTCACTCTGGGCATGGAGCATTTCTGAGAGGCGGGTTAGGGGAGGGGACAGCCACAACTCACCTGGCAGCAAGACCTCCAACCCTGAGATGTCCCCACGTTCCTCACTGTCACCAACCCAGAGCTCCTCTTGCCCTTGCTGGATGCGGCAGATTAAGTTGGGTGTTGGACCTTGATATCCTGTTTAATGCAGGGGTTAAAGACAGTTAATGACTGGGTACTGGACAAAGAATAAGAAACTGAGATTTAGGATATGGATACAATAAACTCAAGGGCTGTACTGAGTATTGTCACCCAAGCAGGAGTACGAGGAGGGGGGCAAGCAATGCGTGGAGTGGAAGTGCCCGTGACCCCACCCCAGAGCCCTTGCAGAGCCTGCACTGGCCCCTTCCCCTGCCCCCCATCCACAGGCCATGTGTGTGTGAGGGGGGTCATGGTGCTAGGGGGCATAGGGGGGGCACTTTTAATCCTTCTCCCTTGTCTGCTCCTGCCTCTCTTAGAGCTGGAGAGAACCCAGGCATCCAGACCTGGCTTCTGTACCACAGCCCCACTCCCCTCCGAGGGGACCCAGGTGTCCAGGGCTCCCAGACCTATCCCACCCCCACTTTGGGCCAACTAAGCAGCCCCCCTCCCTTCCCGGCGGGGGGGATGGTCATAGGAAACAAAGCACCGATCACTCTGAGATATAAAAAATGACCTGTGATATGGTAAAGAGCAGAAAGACAAAGCTTTCACTATTTACAAGGCACTAAAACGAAGAGACACTAGGCACACTGGTGGCTGGATAACACCTGTCTTAGTGTCATTCCAGGCAAAGGACTGGGAGTGAGTTTCTTTCTGGGAAGGTTTCAAGCAAGGCCTGGCAGCAGGGAACAGAATCCAGGACAGATGGCTGACCATAACACTTCTCTCTGGGAGAGAAGGCCATTCCCCAACAGGGCGGAGGAAGGGAACATTTCTAAGAACTTCAGTGACAACAAAAGCAATCATCCCATCCAGCAGGAGGATTGTCCCAGAAGGGAGATGATCACAAGGTGGGCAAATCCTGCAGAGTTTGAAAAAAGATCCGGGGAGTTCTGGGTATGGACAGCTGAAGGCAGAAGGAGACACCGTTTACAGCACATGAAAGCCTGTAATGTAGGAACGGTCGACATGGTCTTTGCTGAGTTAGAGGAAGCCCTGAAACCCTAAGGAAGTCCTTCGGGGGAATTGGAGGGAAAAGAAAGCACCAGAAAGGCAAGATGACCTTGCAGAAGGAAAGTCCTTCAGCCCTGTCCACAAGCCAGAACAAGCCCTGTATCAGAGACCCTCTGGAAATGACAATGGGTTTTCACCAGCTCTGCACCAAGTGCACCCTTTTTTATCGCCACAACGGATGTCTGACATGCAGAGGGATTTTGGGAGGAGGACGAGACACCTGAGAACAACAGAGCGAGCTTGGGAGCAGGTCTCCAAGTAAACACAGCCAAGCCAGAGCCTGCGGCCTGTGGAGATGAAGACTTTATAGATTCATAGATGTTAGGGTCGGAAGGGACCTCAACAGATCATCGAGTCCGACCCCCTGCATAGGCAGGA